ATATAATATGATAAACTGCACAAACTGAATAAACAACATAGCTGTAAACTCGAGTGGATATCTTCAGGGGAAAATTTGTCAATTGATGCAGTTTCTAGTGAGAGAATCATAGTGCAATACACAAAATTGTGTTCTCATTATTGAACTTCAAAATGCATTAGGTATCAGTGATGGAGGTTCAGCATTACCATCGATTCTGAAGTGGAACAGAAACTTGCTGATTATCTAGCAATCAAATAATCCTATCACAAAAATACCCATGAGACTAGTCAAGAAAGCAAGTAGACAGAATAAAGAATGACTTGCAGAGTCCAAATTGACCTCAAGTACAGCAAGTCCATGTTACAAAATCTTAGTCTTGCTTGAGAGGCCATGATATGTTGTAAAGGACGAGCCCAACCATGAGAATCACACTGCCCGAGACGAAGTAAGGGCTCAAAATTGCACCTTCCGGGAGATATGGCAATGGAAGGGAAAGGACATAAATCGAAATAGGCACTACAAGAGAAAGTAATCGTTGTTAGAAGGGCTTCATCATAGGTACATCTCTCTCTCTAAACAAATGTCTAATGACGAAGAGTACCTGATGACATCACAGCAAGAGAAGAAACAACAGCAGAGGAATATTTTAAAAGATTGAGTACGGATATGTTGAAAGCTATATTGACAATTATGTAAAGGAGGGGTAATATTGGGGCTCCATCACAGCCTGAAAAAACAGAACAAAGTGATTAGTTACCAAAACAGAAGGGCACTGATGATAAAAACGAAAGAGCAGAAATACAACCTTTTCAAATATAAGTATGCATAAAATCCGAAATAAATATGAAGAGATCATTTACTCTCAATTACATGTTAAACTTCAATGCTGCAATTGATGCCAAAGTCTTCTGTAGTAGTTTCTATCTCTACTATAAGCAAACTGTCAAGGGTCTTCCAGTTTTGGTCTTTTACAACTTTTTACCATCATAAATTTATGGAAGCATGCAAATGAATGTCAATTTTACGCAGAGAATAACAAATACAAATGCGATCAACTTCATACACTGACACGGCAATTTCTCAGTCTCAACCAAGGGCGGACGCAGAAGTTAAAAGTTAGGGGGCACAATCGAACTTGTAAATAAATTGAGAGAAATTTTAAAATCGAAAATTTACGTCAAAAAAATTATATCCCATGTAATTTTGCATCCAAAAATTTACATGGGGTATGACTTTTTCAGATGTAAAATTTCGAAAAAAATTTATATCATATTCCATATAAAATTTCCTAATAAAATGATGAAAATTACATTGTGAAATTTGTATTGTAACAATAATAAATGTTAATGAAATAATTGAATTTTTTACCGCATTTTTAACTATTTTCGATATCTGTTTGGATTAATTCGATATACTTATAATGTAGTTCTTGAAATAGGCTTTAAAATGACATAATGTAAAATTTCGAAAATTTTTGATGTCATATTCCGTATAAAAATCCAAATAAAATGATGAAAATTAAATCGAGAAATTTGTATCGCAAAAATAATAAATATTAATGAAATAATTGAATTTTTTTAACGCATTTTTAACTATTTTCGATATCTGTTTGGATTAATTCGATATACTTATAATGTAGTTCTTGAAATAAGCTTTAAAATGACATAAGTAATTTGTAGATTCAATTAGCGTACAATCGTCAAAATTTTTTTAAAGTTAGCATATTATCGAAATTTTCGAAATACTAATTTTGAACGGTTTAATTTGACAAGTCGTAGCATTTTCTACGATTGATCGTTTCATAGGCCATTAACGACGTAGAAAACTAGACCATGAACACTTCAAAATGATATTAAGAATGCAATATTTCGCTCTTGTTTGATGGAAAGTTAAGATTTTGTTAAAAGACGAAAAAAAGGAGAAAAATTAAAATTTATTGTGATTTTACCCCTGTTTAATGGAGATTAAAATCAAATTTTTAGTAAATTTTGATAAAAATTAAATAGTTATGGATTCCATGAAATATGATATTAAAATTAATTGTTAACTTTGATTTAGATTAAAATTTATATTTCAATAAATACCAAACGTGATNTTTCTGCTGCATTAGTTCCAATATCTCCCATCAACTCCAAACTCATTGCATCCTGTAAGTTGGTTTTTCACTCAACACTAGATGTATGTATTATGCATACTCAAATAGTCAAATTGATTACATTATGAAACCTCTAAGTTCAAAAACTACCTAACTATAAAATGAACACGATGAAAAATTGCAGGGTTAACAGTTTTCCGCAAAGCAGAGGATAAGAGTTATAGAAACTCTTCCTGTTCAGAGTTCAACTGACAAAGAATATAGGCATTGAAGATCAGAAAAAAAGTTGATTACATTAAGGAGTCCAGGGCAAGGTATTACCTGTGGTGTTGGTTCCAACATTGAAGAAGCAAGCGGCGCCACTTTTCAAGAATGAGGGAAGTTCAGTTAATGGTATGCCTTTCAAATTCGACAATAATGGCAGAAAGAGGAGTACAAAGAGAGCCTGCAAGTGGAAAGGTACGTCAAGTAAACCCCCCGAAAAATAGTTCTACCATAGTCAGACAGAGATATTTCTAACTTGTGCCTGCACCTTTCTGCTTCGCTGGTGTCTGGTCATATAACAGCGGAGTAATTAGAGGTGCTTTGGGTGCATCAAGCATCACGAAGAAGAACAGTACTTTCAAGATCTCCCTTCTTTCATATAGTTTTAAGGCCAGAATCCTTGCCTCTTAGGATTGATGCACCACTATGTTTTTCATATAAAGCTCTTTTTGAGATGACAAAAGGGGTCATTCCGGGTTGTTTCTAGTTAGGGAAATATTATTTCATGTTTTACATTTTAATTTGTTTCTCCAAGTCAAGGCTGCTTACTTTTAAAGGCTTAAAAAGAAAAATATAGAATCTTTCTAGGAAGAATCTTCCATCCAGTTCCACTAGACTGTAATGCAATCAGAGACTTTGACCCAATTCAATCAACAGTCAAAACAGCACGTTTTAAATGGAAAATATTTACTTGATCAATTTAAGTTATTTATTTATTGTTAAAGATATTTTAGGTTCAGTGTTAATTTAGGGGTTTTATTTGATTGGACTTTTATTCGTTTAAACAAGTTTTCTAGAGGTTTTGTTGGTTTAGAAGATTAAGTTAGGATGTCTCATTTTCTTGTAGAAGCTTGAATTAGGAGTAATTGCGGAAGCTGTTATTTTTATCCAACGGTTCCTATTAAAATTTTAAATTTTAAAAAAGTACTATATTGATCCACATCACATTCAAACATTACTCTTGCTGAATTCATTCATTTAAACACTACTAGGTGCAAACAACGTGCAATGCACGTTTGCCTAGTTTATATTTAATAATTTTGTTTAATAATTAATTTGTTATTAATAAAGATGTAATTTTTTTAGTTAATTAAATAATTAATGATGTAATGTTTATGTAATTGATAAATAATTAGATGTGTGATTTTGATGTTGTGATGTAAGTTGGTGAGATCGAAGAAAATAAGCAAAAGTTGACAAATTTGGAGAAATTGCTAAATTGTAAGGGATCCAAAGTT